CAATACGAGAGAGAGAGAGAGAGAGAGAGAGAGAGAGACATGCAAAAAGAGTTGAAATTTTAATAGAAAAAAGTTTTGCTAAAATAGTTTTTTCATTACAACCAATAGAGCCAACCATTGCGTTAAAACATTGAATTAAATATCACTTGTCATTTGATTTACTGTTCTGTTTAAAGCACTGAATGGTTAAAACAAAAAATAGGCAAAATGTACACCTAATTAAAATAAATCAATTAGATTTAAATGTAATTCAAAACCATAATGTTAAATTCTAGTCTAAATAGGGTAATACAGTAGTAGTACTAACAATAAATTTTAGAACTTAAAAATTAACTAAAATAATTTAAACAAAAAATTTTGATTCTAGGATATGATTAGAAATTCCTTAAATATTGACAAATGTCCTCAAAATAGACACATCATATAGCAATCAATAAAACCATAAAATACAATAAACATATCATTTATAGCTTTCAATACGGGTCTGGGAATTGGGGGTGTATTGTGAATGACATAACCATCATAACCAAACCAATAAATTGAGCATGATAACAAAAATTATGCTAGCCTAATAAATCACATAAACGGGTGTACATAAATCACACAAATACTAGCCTAAATGCAAATGAATCAAACGGGTTAGATAACTGGGTATTAGCCTAATTTGAATAGACCCTGTGTGAATTGAATCAATATAAATCATACATCATATCAATGCATAGCATTAACACTAATTCCCGGCTATATTTCAATCAGAAATTGCGATAAAAACTTTTTTGTTGTAAACATTTTTGACATTTAAGATACTATTGTCAGTGAGAAGAGACAGTCTCGTTGAGGGGACGGACACCCCCTCCCTTTGCGGAAAGGGGGGCTCAACACCTGGCACTTTGGGCACACAGAGAGCACTGGTATGTAATGTGAAAAGCAGACAACCAGTTGGCAAACACTGGGGCAGCGATTGGGATATCATAAGGCAGTGAATGTACAGCACATCTAAAGTAGACTACAGTATACTCTCTGGAAGTGAATGAGTGAACAAACCGGTCGACAGAGAGATAGGGTTTAAGACTTGTGTTACTTTTATTGACTGGTTTTTGGTTGACGTTTGCAATGCATAGCAAATGAATTGAGAGAAAAAAAACATTTGTTTTGTTGTTATTTTGCATTTAATTGATTTTTTTTAATGAAATAACAGTTATATTACTGTTATGTGCGATATATTTGTGGCATTGATTTGCTGTTCAACTAATGAATGCATGCATTCATAGCCATTACAATCACACGTGGAATACAGGATAGCATTCAGTCCTCAGTCTTGTTGTTGTCATTCATTACATAACAAAGTCTTCATCACATTGTTGTCAACACATCCGCTCTCAACACATATATTACCACACATTTTGGTCACAAGAAGACAACACATCCATTACTACAACCACAGCCATCACAACACGACAACTGACACAATGTTTTTAACACCGCATTTGATTCAATTGTTTTAAACGTAAGTCTCGTTGTCTCGCAATGTCTTCACCCATTCATTGATCCATATCTTGTTGTCCACAACAGATATCGTATATCTTTAGCCAATATTCATGTCTTGATTGAATAGCCATCGGGTGTGTTGTCCACTGCCTATTGTCTTCCATCAGCACTTCCACCACAACCGCAGCGTCAGCTCAATCGCCTCCGCAGTCATGTCTGTACTGCGGTTATCACTGTATCGGATCCGTCGCAATCGGATGGTCATTATCCGTGCCGTCGCTGCCTTCTTCTCGATGGCCGCCATATTTCTACTGCTGTCGCGAACCATCAAAACCGGTCACCAAAGCGACAGTCAATCGCATTCACTCGAAGACGCGGCCAAAAGCATCTCATCATTACTTCCATTTGAATCTCACAACGAATTACTGGTCGAAACACATCCTCGCAGTGACAATGACGGCCACGACAGCCGCGGGTCCGCCTCAGTGGCCATGAGTCCCAACGATTGGCGTCTGTATCAGCGGCTGAATCCCGTGCAAAAGGGTTGGGGCGAAAGGGGTGTCGCCGTACACCTCGACAACGACAAAGACAAGGCTCTCGCGAAGGAACAGTTCAAATCGGGTGCCTTCGATGTGTTCATCTCCGACCGGATCAGCCCTAACCGCACTCTACAGGACGCGCGTCCGTACGAGTGCTCTAAAGTGGACTACCCGTCGGATGGGTTGGGTTCGGCCACTATTGTGATAATCTACACGAACGAGATCTGGTCGGCGCTGATCCGCACGATATGGTCCGTATGGAACCGAACGCCCGACCGGTTGCTCAACGAAATCATTTTGGTCGACGACTTCTCCGATAAGCCCGAACTCCGGGCACCGCTTGACAAGTATTTGCGCTACTATTTCGGCGATCGCGTCCGTGTCATACGGCTCGACAAGAGGGAAGGGCTGATCCGCGCGCGACTCATCGGCGCTCGTCGGGCGCGCGGCTCTGCCATCGTATTCCTCGACTCGCACTGCGAGGTGACTACCGGTTGGTTAGAGCCACTGTTGGCCCGCATCGCTGACGACCGGCGCAACGTTATCTGTCCGGTGATTGACGTGATATCGGACAAGACGTTGGAGTACTTCGCGGGCAATCCCTACTACTTCCAGGTCGGAGGGTTCACGTGGAGCGGACACTTCACTTGGATCGACATACCGGAGGACGCGGCCCGCAAAGCGCCGACCAGAGCGGTGGTGTCGCCAACGATGGCCGGCGGCCTCTTCGCCATCGATCGCCAGTACTTCTTCGAGATCGGCTCCTATGACGAGCGGATGGAGATCTGGGGCGGAGAGAATCTGGAGCTCTCGTTCCGCGTGTGGCAGTGCGGCGGCCGTCTGGAGATACACCCGTGCAGTCATGTCGGCCACATATTCCGCGACTATCATCCGTACTCTTTCCAGGGAAAGGACACACA